TCCAGTCCCCTGATATAATAAAAAGGGGGTGGATATGGTCTTCGTGACTGCTGCCACCTGCATCAGCAACTGGGCATTGCGATCCTCAGCGCCTTCCCCCGTGTGTAAGTAGACATTGGCCCAAGGGGTGCCTGGATCCACGACCCCACGCCATAGCTTCAGGATGAATCTCTCTGGTGTGTGTGTGTGTGTGTGTGTGCGTGTGTGTGTGTGTGTGTGTGTGTGTGTGTGTGTGTGTGTGTGTGTGTGGGGGGGGGGGCATGGCAACAATCGGATCCAATACAACTTCAGAGAAGGACCTGGCATACTGCGAGACAAGGCCCACTCCGGAACTCAATCCACCTTTCTGAGTACCAACTGAGGGGTGGAGGTGCGCATGGGACCCATGCTTGCGAGCGCGGTTGACTGCGAACTCGATAGCCTCTTCAGCACGACAGAGTTCTTGAAAACCGACAGCATCAAACCGATCAGAATAGGCCTCCAGGAAAATATCGGCATTGGACCAGGAGGTGACGTTCACAGTAACGATGACCCAGTCCCGACGAGGCTTCTGAACGAAGGCTGACTTGTCGGGCGGGGTCTGCGATGTGCCAAAGGTCAGACGGGCCCATGGGATTGGAGCCCTCCACCACAGCTGGGGTGTCGGCGGGGCCAGCGGTGGCGGCAGCCGACGGCGAAAACCTTCCTGACTGTCCCGGCTGATCAACTGCAACATCAGGGGCATGAGCAAGACGTTTCGGCGCAGGCGGCAGTGAGGGAGAGGTGCGGGGAGGAGCCCTGGCAACGCGTGTTGGGGAACCTTGCTGGTCGACAGACATCCTGGGTTCCTCAGACTGAGACCGAGGCTCTCTGGCAATACCAACAGGAGCATAGCCAGACATAACGATACCCTGGAGGTCACGCAACGCCTGAGCAAGCTTCTTGTCTCTCTGCGCTGCCTGGGAAGCTGCGAAGACGTCCGCCACGGCAGAGAGATCTGGGGGCGTGAAACCCTCAGGACCTGGCTCGCTCGACGGGAGATCCTGCAACTTAGCCTGCCACATAGCCATATCCTGAGCGACCCGCTCCTGACGAGAGCAGAGGGCGTCCCTTTCGCTCTGAAGGTCCAGGATTTTACGATCGAACTCACGGATCTGGCTAGAGATCTTGTCAAACTTCTTACTGGCCCAGTGATGGCGCTGCTTGTAGAACGCACGCTTCTGGGGGACGGTAAGCATGTCGGACTTCTGTGCTCGGAGATGCTGCAACTCGTCCTGGAGACTCGAAACCTGATCGAGAACATACCTGGTCGGCGAAAGCAGGCGGAGGGAATCCAGCTGGCCCAACAGGGCATTGATAATCTGGTCAATCTGTGCAACCGAGAGCTCATTGCCATTGGTGTCGACACAGCCGCCATCAACGTCGTCGTCGACATAGTCAGCCCAGAAACCACGATCGCTGCCAATACCGTCGTCGCCAGAGTCAGATCCAAACCTATCCTGCACTTCATCATCCAATGGAGCCTGAAGACGTTCATCCAAAGACCGAACTGGGGGAGTGGCAGAACCATCAACATCATGACGATCATGGAAACGAGCACGGGGAGGGGACACGACAGGCTCATTGCGCCTGCCTTTGCTCCTTCCCTTCTTTCCTTGGACCTGTCCTCTGGAGCGGCCAGGAAACGGAGTACTGCAAAACTTACACTTCTGGCGGGGGTTGGTGTCGGGATCCACGAAGTCTTGCCAGCATCGCGACACACGAGACAGACGAGATATCCCATGGCGCGCCCCGCGCAAGGTGTGGGCGGCACACGCGCCGAAATCGTCCGAGCCTGCCGCACGGCTGCGGACAAGCTCGAAGCCTCGCGGCAAGGTTTCGAACTTGAGCCAACATGGCTACGGAATTTTCACACATACATTCATATAGAGGAAGTCTGGAGCGGGTGGATAAATCGCGAACGTGTCTCGAGCGGAGCCCCCCCTAGTGGGGTCACGGTTGGTGGTTATCCGGATAACAATTGCAACATTTGGTTTCCTGATGACTGAAGCTTGCGGGACGCTCGCGCAAGAACCTCGTCCGTGAGCATATCGCGAGCAAGTGTCGAGCGGAACCCCTCTGTTGTGTGCCTGCACTTCACGTTAACAATCCGGACGGGGCATCCAACTCCTGTAACTGTCGTCGCTGTTGAACTCCTGGGGACTGAAACTGAATAACATCTGGAGCGGGAGCCTCGTCTGTGAAAGACTCGCGAAAAAGTGTCAGGCGGAACTCCTCCCTGTGGGGCCCGCGCTTCACGTTAGCAGTCCGGCCAGGTCATCCAAATCCTGTATTTGTAAATATTTTTAGGCCACTGAGCATTGACACTTGAAGAAATCTCGAGCGGGAGCCCAGTCTGAGAGTAAATAGCGAAGTCTCGAACGGGAGCCTCTCCCATTGCAGCCTATGGGGCCCGCGCTTCATGTGAGTAATTTCTACCTGTCGTCACCTCGGGGTTCCCGATGACTGACGCTTGAAGAAATCTCGATCGGGAACCTCCCCTGATGGGCCCCCTACGCTTTAGGCTAGTAGCCCGTTCGTGTCATGGAAATCCTTGAGCTGTCGTCACTTTTGTGCTCCTGACTGAATCGGCAGGACGTCTCGGGAGGGAGCCCCGTCTGTGAGTGAATCGCGAAGAAGTGTCAGGCGGGAACCCCTCCCTGTGGGGCCCGTACTTCACGTAGTAATCCGACCAGGTCGTCCATATCCTGTAGTTGTTAGCATTTTCTGGCTTGTGATGCCTGAGCCAAACGGAAGTCTCGAGCGGGGGCGGGGGCCTCGTCTTTGGGTGAGTTGCTGGGAAGTCTCGGGAGGGAGTCCTCGGAGTGCTTCAGATGGCTACAGGTCGCCTCAGGAAGCTTCGGGAAGCCGCGGGAAGCTTCAGGAGACCCCGGGAGGCCCCAAACGAAGTCCCAGGAAGCCCCCGGAGTCCCCCATGAGGCCCCAGGAGGCCCCAGGAGGTCCCAGAAGGCCCAGGAACCCCTGAGACGCCCCAGGGGCCCACGAGTCAAAAATGATGCCCCTGGAGGAGGCGCGAGGCCCCGGGAGAATGCATGAGGAGGTAGAGGAGGAGGATGAGGCAGATGAGGAGGCAGATGGAGGAGGAGGAGGCTGGGGAGGGGGAGGGGGAGGAAGGATGCCGGAGGGGTAAGAGAAGGCCAAACGAGGAAAATTGAGGACGAGGAGGAGGGGGCACGATGAGGATAAGGCAATATGAGAAGGCAGGAGGATGAGGAGAAGGCAAGATGAGGATGAGGAGGAGAATGCGCGATGATGATGAGGAGGAGGATCAGGAGACATGAGGAGGAGCAGGAGGAGACATGAGGAGGAAGAGCAGGGAGAGGAGGACGAGGAGGAGGAACCGGAGGAGGAGGAGGATAATGAGGAGAAGGAGGCAACATAATCATGCACTAGGAGGAGGAGGCGGCAGGAAAAGGCAGCAGGAGGAGGCAGGAGGAGGAGGAGGGAGAGAGGGCGGGACGAGGAGGAGGCAGGAGGCATAAGGGAGGCGGCATGGAGGAGTAGCAGGAGGAGGAGGAGGAGGAACATGAGGAGGAGGAGGAGGAGGAGGAGGAGGAGGAGGCATGGAGGATAAGTCATGACGAGGAGGAGGAAGAAGAGGAGGAGGAGAATGAGGAGGATGAGGAGGACGACGAGGAGGACGAGGCGGCGTCGGCGGCGGTCTCACCATGTGATCCGAGTCCTGACGTATGCTTGCAAGGCTTAGGATCGGTGTGCGCGAATGGTGCCCTGTGCACCCCGCCATGTGCACCCCGGGAGTCTCCCCCTCGGCTCAAACAGGGGGCACCATGAGCCACTGAGCGAAATAACTGACAACGTTTTTCTATGTCACCCAGACAATGCTGGGACCCACGAAGGGGGAGAACAAAAAAGGAGGAGGAGAGGTGAGGCGGGGCGGTGCCTGGAACAACATCTCCGCGATGCGCCGTCGCGCGTGGGGGGGCCGTCGCGGGGAGGAGGAGGAGGAGGCGGGAGGAGGAGCAGGATGTAGGATGGGGCAGGAGGAGATTGCAAGGCAAGTTTAACATACTATCATGTGTAAGCCAACTGTATGAATTACTATTTCCTAGTGCACGGCGTTCACACACACTAATAAGATTTGCACGGGTTGAAGGCGGCTCATTTTCAAAACTGGGCTCTCGCTGGGCAATTGGTCTGAATGGTCATACCTCGTCGCCGTCTTCATGGTGGCTCGAACCATGGATAGCAGCTCCTCAGCAAAAGGGGGCTCCTGCCTGAATTGCAAGACCAATGGGCGCTGGCCTTTCAATGGGACACTTCCCGCAATGAACCGAGATTCTTGTAGGAACTTCTGAGGACGAGACCCGGAACGGGTGGGCGTATTTCAACATGGCTTGTACATATGAGGTTAATTCTGGTCCTCCTCCCCCTCAATTTAATCACGTACGCGGTTTGAAACGCTGGGGGGGGGGCGTCCGAAGGAGCGAACGGGCTCACGGCACCGCTGCGCTGCCCTTCTGATGAACAAGCTCTGGCGTGATCTTTCATGCTCCCCCTCCTCAGATCCCCGCTTTCTTCCCTTCCCTTCCTCTTCTCGCCTCCTCTCCCTTCTTCATCTCCCAACCTTTCTCCCCTGCGCGTTCCCCGCCCCATCCTCCCTCCCTCCCCATCGGGAGCGGCCAAGAGGGGGGTGTCCAAGAGGGGGGGGTGCAAATCATGACCGGCGGCATGTGCGCGGCCCAGCGGGGGGGCCAGGGACGTAATGAAACAAGAAGAGGCGCCATGAGATCTGGGGAAATATCATGGCCCCCGCCATGATATCCACCCCCCCCTAGTCATCACCCCCCTCTTTTCTTCCCCCGATCCTCCCTCCCTCCCCAATCGTCCTCCCTCTCCTCCCGCCGCCCCTGCTGCTGCGAGCCGCCGTGCACCTCACGGGAGCCCCCGCAGCCCGACCTCCGCCGCGCACTCTCGGCCCCCCCCCCTCTGGGGCGGGCCGCCTCGTGGCACCACGCCAGGATGAAGGTCGGCCTCGCGGCCAGCGAAGACCAGGCCGGAGGAGCAGAGCCGATCCCAAGGTGGTGTCGGAGGATCGCGCCGCATCACCGATGCATCGGCGCCGTCGGCGTGGAGAAGATCGGGCTCCACATCGAGCCGCATCACGGGTGAATCGGCGACGGGGGGCGGTTCTCCGACCTCGCCTGCTCCGACCCCACCCTGGAAGGCCTGGACCAAACAGGCACGAGCCTCGCGGTCGCGAGTAAACGCCCGGTCGGGTCGCTTCTCCCCTCCCCAGTCCCCCGACGTCATGACTTTTTCATGACGGGGACCCCCAGCCCACCCCCGGAGGCGGGAGGCACCAGGAGGTACGATTCTGGTCGCGCCCCAACGGGTGACCTACGGCAAGTTGGCGTCGTGACGACTTCGGCGTTGGTTCCTGACACCGCGCGGACCGTTCAACCTTCAACGATAATCGGTTTTCCGATCGCCGATCGTTCCATATTAGCCGATTGTGGGCAACTGGCGGCGCTCTAACCTTGAACGCCCGCGCTGGCGTCTGTCACCTCTACGCCAACACGACACAAACCTACCGTAGCCTGTCTTAGACACTCCGAAAACAACAACTTCGCATCTGCGAAAGAATATGCGTGCACTTGTTTGGCAACTGCTACCGCGCCTCGGAGCTCGGCCACGGGGAAACATGTGCTATGGATAGAATTGCCCTGACCAGAATTGACTGGAGGGGTTTGCAAGGAAGGTTGGCCAGGGGTGGCCGGAAGGCATTTATATTCACAATGTATAATGTCCTCGCAGCTGCGGGTCCCATGGCCCCCCTGTGGGGCTTCCAGGCTGTAAACGATCACGTTACATCGGCCTCAATGCTGCTGCTGTGATGTATGACATCGACTGTTGTACTTGTGCCTGCACCCCCCTCTGTCAATCCCGGCCACCTGGTCACCAAAAACCCCTTCGAAAAATGACTTGAGGGGGCTTCCCGCAAACCCCCGTGAATTATACACTTTATCCGGCGCTCCCAAGGCCACTGTGTAATGTATGCTGGGTCCGCGCTCCCAAGGCCACGATCCCTTTCAAATTACACTGGATCCGCGCTCGCAAGGCTATGATCTTGGGTGAATTGCGTTGGATCTGCGCACCAATGGCCACGCTCCCATATTACTTACACTTGATCCACGCTCCAATCTCTGGTCAACTCACCTGGATTCGCGTTCCCCCATGCCACGGTCCCTTGGATATTTGCTGGCCCGTGGGGTTTCTCCTCGGCGTGTGAGAATGCTGCCCCTCCCCAAACCGTCTCCAGGAAACGGCCGGACTAATCTCACAAACCCGCTAGGCAGCGGGAAATTTGATCGTCCCCTCTTCCGCACCCCCACCTTCTCCTTCTAGGGGGGGGAAGAGAATCGATGCTCCTTATTAATGAACGCACCCTCCCCCGCTCGACTGGCGGCCGATCAGGGACCATGCCGACCCCCCGCCTATCTAATTCTCGATCAACTCAAATCATACAACTTACACTTTGCGGCACTATCTTGGACCATGCGGGGGGGCCCACGATCGCTTTACATGTTTTTTATTAATCGGGACCTCAAGAAGGCCCCCGATGGGGGAACTCGCAGTGACCCTGGGAGCCCTCCGCCACAAGAAGCCCCGAAAAAGCCCCAAGAGGGCCCCAAGAAGGCCCCAGGAGCTCTGAAACGGCTCTAAATCAGGAACAACTGCATCTGAGCAAGACGACGGGTCGGCGTAATTGCGTAAGCCTCCAAGACAAATTACGCTGGATCCACGCTCCCAAGGCTACGATACTTGAACACGGGAAGAGGGCCAAACAATGCTCCCTCTATGGGGGCTCCAGGAGGCTCCAAAGGCTGATAACAAGCAGCCAAAGGCCCAATACAGACCCCAGAAACCCGAGAGATCAACGAAGGCTCACTAGGAGAGAGGAGGCCCCTGAGGCTCCCAGGAAGATGAGGATCAGAAAGAGCAGGGAGATGACGAAGACGAGGAGGATGGCGGCGAGGTATGTCTCAACAAATCCCTGGGGCAGGGATGGGGGCAACGGCAATGGCCGACTGCCTTCAGAAAATCCGCCAGCCCCCTTGTGGGGCTACCAGGCTGTAGGGCTAGGGTTTGCTGTTCCCTGCGCCAATTCCAATTTCCAACTTCCAATTGCAATTCTGCTTAATGCTGCTTACTGTTCCTTGTTGACGGACCGCGCGAGGGGGGGGAGCCGAGAAGCGTGCGGATTACCACGCCCGAGTCGCGTTGCCTGAATTCCTGGGGGGGGCGTGGGGCACGTAAAAATACATGAAATTCGCGCCCCTGAGGCCATAAACCTCCGTACATTACACGATATTCGCGTCCCCGAGGCTATAAACCTTGGCGACGTCAGAAAAGTTCGCTTCCCCGAAACCATAACCCCTTGCAAAATACACCACATTCGTGTCCCCGAAGCCAGAAACCCTCGTAAACTACACAATGCTTGCGTCACCCAGGCCACAAACGCTTATACATTACATAATATATTCGCGTCCCCGAAGCCGTAAGCCCTAGTAACCTACGCAATGTTCGAGTCACCGAAGCCATAAGCCATTATACAGTATACATTATTTGCGTTCTCAACGGAATAAACCATTGAACATTACTTCATATTCGCATCCTCGAAAACATAGACCCTGGCAGATTACGCTATACTCGCGTATCCGAAGCCATACGCCCTTGTAAGTTACACAATGCTTGCGCCCCCGAGGCCACAAACGCTCGTACATCACATGGTATTCGCGTCCGATTCGCGTCCCCGAAGCCTTAAGCCTTTGTAAATTACGCAATGTTCGCGTCTCCGAAGCCATGAACAATGATAAAGTATACAAAAGTTGCGTTCCCGATGTACTACATCATTGGCAATTACTTAATATTCGCATCCCCGAAGCTATACACCTTAGCAGATTACTATAGATTCACGTATCCGAAGCCATAAACCCGGGCCAATTACGCAATATTCGTGTCTCCGAAGCCATAAACCTGTGTACATTACGCTATGTTTGCGACCCCGAAGCCATCAAGCCGCGTACATTACTTTCTAGTTGCGTGTCCGAAGCCATAAACCGTCATAGGTTATGCAATGTTCGCGTCTCCGAAGCATACACCTGCGTAAATTACGCTATGTTTGCGACCCCGAAGCCATACACCCTCACACATTATGCTATATTCGCGTAGCAGCATCGATCAACATGCAAAACTGAGTTCAACAATATCATCATAATCGCAATTTCTCTTGCCGATGCTGCTTCACGGCGGCGCCGAGGCCTCATGATTTAGCTTTTGCGCAGCCCATGATCCGAGAGAGGGGGCCGGCTGCAGGGGGCGAAGCCCTCACGGATTACATGTCCAATCATTGAATCGATCCCGTAATCGCAAACATCTTTTGAACAAGCGGCCAATCTGCGTCACTACCTTCGCCGCTCTGTCATCCATTTCCGATTTCCCCCTCTCGCTGGCATCTGCTTGAATCTCTATCAGAAAACGCTCGCCTGCAGTAGTAGTGCTCATGGAATTCTATACGCCGCCTTTGGTGCTCCATGGCGTCCTGCATTGCGCGATGGCGGTCTGGAAGAGAAGCGACCGGATCTCGGAAGCGGCTGCTACTTTCGGGAGCGATTAGGGGTAGTGTCAACAACTGGTGAATGATGAGCAACAAGCGTCAAGTGGGCTCCCGCTCGGAAACAGTGAATCGTTTGTACTCTTTATGCTTATCCATGGCGCGGTCGCGCGCCGTCACCTGGCGCGCATACCAAAACAGAAGTCCAGCACCGCGGGGTCTGTTCACTGGCTATCGAAGGGGGGTCTTCATTCAATGCGCACAAGCTGACATTAAGGATAGAGACGTAAGAATAGCCGGAAACAACAAAGAGAAACTGGTGAGAAGGGGAGGGAGGAACAACGGCGCCCTGGCCAGGACCCCTCGCAATCGCCCGATCATCATATGCAGAGCGGGTGGTCGTGTCCGCTGAATCTGGATGTGCGCTGGTCGAGATCGCCACCTGCTGCACAGGTCGCATACCCCACTGCCAGGATGGGCCCATCTCCGGTGCTGCGAGATCCGTCGCCTGGGCATGTTGCCACGGCTATGCCCATCTCCCAGGACAGAGGAGCCAACCAGTCCGCGCGTTCGGGATTCCGTGACCTGAGTGCGCCAAAGCTCCCCAGGCAGGAGGAAATGCTGGTCGGTCCTCCACGTGAATGTCGAAATGGAATCCTCCTCCTTTTCGCCCACTCCTCCTGTCGTCTTCTTCCTGCTGCGGCTGATCCTACCCGTCGTCAAAATGAATGAGGGGGCCCTCATCACCTGCGGTGGAACGCAAGGGAACTTGAGACGCGAAACGCTCGAAAACTACCTCGAACCCTCGTTACAACGCCATGGCATGCAACGCCAATCTGCGGAGCCGCGACTGCCCGTCATCTCCGCGCGAGTGAGAAGACGCCTCACAACAAACACAGTGACGATGCGTCCCGCTCGCCGCCGAATCTCGATAATAAGCGGCACCTTCTGACCCTTCTCCTGCTGCCATCCCGCTGAATCGATGGAGCCATGAGTATCGTTTATCCGATCCCCATCCCCGAAGGGGATATAGGCCGTCCCTTCGGGTTTCCAGGGGCGTCTCCCCAACTGGGGTGGTAATTTGGTGAGGGTCTCGAAGGGAATGAGGATGGGGATGGGGGTCGGATAAACGATGCTGAAGCCAGGTGCGGCTCCACTAGCAGCCAGAGGACCCGTAGCAACATCACGGCTCATCACTACATACGCGAATACAAACGCTGCGCCGACCTCCCTCCTGCCGCTCGCTCCCCCCGCAGGCGGGTGCGCACCCGAGAAGAAAAACAAACATAGCCATGCTCACCCCGCTTACGCGACCGCCTTGCAGCAAATGGGGTCCTGGGCCTTGCAGCCTTCCATGAAGCCCTGTAGCCTTCCCTGAAGCCCTGCAGCCATCCCCGGGCCTTTTTCAGGGAAGCCCCCGAGGCCCAAAGCCCCTTCGGCTCACGGTGACGCGGGCGGCCCCCAAGGAGCGCGGGCGTCCGGAAGATTCTTCTCCCGGTAAACCTCCCAGAGCATGGTGTCCATGACCTCACGAGCGGCTGCGATAATATCGGTGAGGAGCGCTGGAACATCACCACCAGAGGAACAAATCATGGCACATACATGAACTTCCGAAGCTCCGCGCGGATTTCACGGATCTGCGTTGAACCTCCTTTCCTGGCGCGCGGGGCACGCCAGGGGCTGCGCCAGAGGCGCCGCTGAGGGGCTCCCAACCGCCGATCCAAAACATCCCCGCGGAATTGCGAAAGTTATACATGTAGATGTGTGTAGAAATCTATATATATATATATGTATACATAAATCAAAGTGAGAGGGCCGAACGGTCATTCCTTGTCCCAGGGTGCGTGGCTGAAGTGGGATCCGCGGTGCGGATTATTGTTGTTGTTGGTTGTGGTTGTGGTTGTGGTTGTGGTTGTGGTTGTGGCTGTTGTTGTTGTTGTTATTGTTGTTGTTGTTGTTGTTAGTGTTGTTGTTGTTTATTGTCGTCGTCCCACCCGCAACCTGCCCCGCGACCCACCCGCGACCCACCCCGCGACCCACCCCGCGACCCACCCGCGACCCGCCCGCGACCCACCCGTGACCCACCCCGCGACACACCCCGCGCGACCCACCCCGCGACCCACCCCGCGACCCACCCGCGACCCACCCGCGACCCACCCGCGACCCACCCAACGACGCACCCCGCGACCCACCCCGCGACCCACCTGCGACCCACCCGCGACCCCCCCGCGACCACCCCCGCGACCCGCCCGCGGCCCACCCCGCGACCCACCCGCGACCCACCCGCGACCCACCCGCGACACACCCGCGGCCCATCCCGCGACCCACCTGCGACCCAAACCACGTTCAAGGTACGAACCCCATTTTCGGCGCCTGCGGCGTTTTTTTTTTTTTTTTTTTTTTTTTTTTTTTTTTTTTTTTTTTTTCCACCGCATTCCTTCCAGGTGGAGAGCCCGCGGCCCACCCCGCGACCCACCTTCGACCCAAACCACGTTCAGGGTACAAACCACATTTTTCGGCGCTTGCGGCGGGCATCTTTTGCATTCGCTTCAGGTGGAGAGCCCGCGGCCCACCCGCGAACACGTTCAGGGTGCAAACCAAATTGTTCGGCTCCCGCGGCGGGCATCTTTTGCATCGTTCCCGGTGGAGAACCCGCGGCCCACCCGCGACCCAAACCGCGTTCAGTGTACAAACCATTCTTTTCGGCGCCTGCGGCGGGCTGCTTTAGCATTCCTTCCGGGTGGAGGTGGAGAGCCCGCCACCCAACCGCGACCCAAACCACGTTCACTGAACAAACCAATGCCGCACAAGCGCGGCGGCGGATTTTTGCATGCCGTCTGAGCCCGCAACGACCTCTTCATGCCCCGCGCATCCACACCAGCCCGTCCAGCAAACTTGCCCCTGGCGAGTTGCCTTGATCAGATAAGTCGGGGAGCATAAAGTGGAACAAATTGCGTTGCTGTTATCTTGGGAAAGGAGGGGGAGGCAGGAGGAGTAAACAGGGGACGAGGAGGACGAAGAAGAAGAAGAGAGGATGTAACGAGAATGTGGAGAAAGAGGAGGAGGAAGAGCAGGAGGACGAGGAGGGGGAGGAGGAGGACGAGGAGGGGGAGGAGGGGGAGGACGATGATGATGGACGACCATGGGAGGACGATGGTGGAGGCCGATGAGGGGGAGGACGACAATGGGAGGACGATGATGGAAGGACGAGGGGGGGAGAGGGAGGACGAGGAAGAAGAGGAGGACGAGGTGGAGGAGGAGGAGGAGGATGACGATGACGATGACGACGAGGATGAGGACGAGGACGAGGACGAGGAGGAGGAGGAGGAGGAGGATGAGGAGGAAAGCGCCATCGACAGGGAAGGTGGGGGCCACGAGGTCCGCCCGCTCGACGACGCCCGCGTCGCCCGCGCCCGCCCCCTCACTCTTATCCGCAATTGCGGGGTGCTGCGTATTTATAGTAGAACCATCGCGCGCGCTTCGCGCGCGCTCAGGTTCTAGCCCAGGCTGGGGGCGCGCTAGAAGATCTTGCACAGCGCTATCAAGCACAGGCGCGTGACATTGTCGTGCCTTCTGAGGGCCTCTTGAGAACCTCTTGGGTCTTCGTGGGGGCATCTGAAGGGCTTCTGGGGGGTTCTCCGTGCTTCCTCAATTGGCTGTTGGAGGCACCTCTTGGGTGCTTCTCGGGGGAGCATCTTGGGGACCCTTGGGGGCATCGTCAGGGTTCTCCGGGCAATCGGAAAGTAATGTTCTGCAATCTGAGATGTCGCGCTCTTCGAGCCCTCTTGGGTCGCTCTTGGGGCTCTCTTGGGGCGCTCTCGAGGCCCTCTTGAAATATCTGGGGAGCCTCCTGGGCCATCTCTGGTCTTTCCTTATGAGCCACTTGGACCGTCTTGGAGCGATCTGAAGGGCCTCTGACGCCGTCCGGGACCGTGGGGAGGCGGAACATACGAGAGCGCAAAAATGCGGGGCCCTTTGGAGGGGCCTCTGGAGGCGCTCTTGGGGCGTTTTGGCGGCGTCGTCGGCCGTCCTGAGGCCATCTTCGGCGTGTCTGGAGCCTCTTGGGGCTGTCTTGGCAATCTTTAGGGCCCTCTTGGCGTGTCGTGGCGTGTTTGGGAGCGGGCCCGGGCAGTCCCGGGAGCTCTGGGGGCTGTTGAATACTAGGTGTTGTCTTGGAGGCGGATGATGTTGAGTGCAGGGTGGCGCGTGCTACGCGGAAGGCGGGCGAGCGGCTGGGCGGGCGGCGGGCGGGCGGGTGGCGGGCGCGGGCGGGCCGGCGGGCGGGTCGGGATTTGAATGAATTCCTTAAGGGTGCTCTCTTGCAGCGGGAGCTTGTTGAGTAGAGGGTGTTGCCTTGAAGACGGGGGCTGTTGACTACAGGGTGTTGTCTTGGAGACTGAAGCTGTTGAGTACAGAGTGGTGCGTGCTACGCGGACGGCGGGTGGGCGGCGGGTGCCCTAGGTGGTGGGTCAGAGGCCTCATGGGTGTTGGTTTGGATCTCGTGGTTGGCCTGTCGGGGACGTCGTGAAGGCAGTTTCGCAGCTTCTCGGTAGCCATCTTGAGACTGTTGTGGGACCTCCTCGGGGCTGTTTTGTGGCCTCTTGGCGTCTTGAAGGGTCGCGGAGTGCTTTTGGGGGTTTCTCGGGCCATCTTGGGCCTAACTTGGGCGTCCAAGAGCGGTCTTTCGGCGACTCGGGGCCCGCTTGGGCCCTCTGGGGAGCCTCTGGAGGCCCTCCTGGACTATTTTGGACCTCCCCGGCCGCCCCGTCCTCCCATGGGGGTCGGGGCAGCTGTTTGTGGGTCCTGGGCCTGCCCCCAGGGATATACATATATATATATATATATAGATATAGACTTTCTTCTTCGTTTCACACTGTGAACCCTGAATCACATCGCGCTGAATCTTCGAGCATGCCCAAGAGACAGGGCGCTTGGCCCTCATGAGCCTGGACGACACAGTCAAAGCAACCATGTGCCAACAGCTCTGCCAACGCCTCTTGATGTAGGAAACTGACGATCAAATTGCCAACCACACCTCCGTGCGCCTTTGAAGTGGTCGATTTGCGCAGGCGAGGCCAAGCTCGGGACGAACATCGGATCGGGATTCACCGGGGACGAATCGGAGTACGTCTGGCGGTTCTGGAGGATGAATCGGGCGCCGCGGTCGTTCCAGAGCGCTCTGGACGCGCTGAGGGCGTTGCGGAACGCTTTTGAACGATTCACACCCGTCTGGGTCCCGCTCGACCTTCGGCGCCGCACCAAGCAAGGTCCCTCAGATACCTTAACCACACAGCAAGATCTCTGGCGTGCGGGAACCATCTGCAAAACTCGAGCCACAAACGAACCCGTCAAATTTCCGTAAAATATCGGCAACATGTCCGACAACCCGTCAAAAAGCCAAGGAACTATCTGCAAACGAACCCGTCAGGTGTCCATGAGCCCGCCACGGCTCTCCGGCGAGAGGCACACCACATGGAGGCCTCTGGCTACGCCTGCGTTGCGAGGAGGTGCGCCGTCGCTCGGCGGGACGCGACACCAGCGAAGGGTGCGAGGGAACGCGGTCCAGAAGCACGCACGCCTGAGCTGGATCTTCCCCTGAGCGCGGATGCTGTGGGAGGTCGCCAAAAGGGGAAGGGAGGGGAGGGAAGAACTGGAGACGAGGAAGAAATGACACACACACACACCTCTCGTCTCGGAGGTCCGCGCTGATTTCTGGGATCGGCGCTGGATCCCCCTCCGCTGGCGCGCGGAGCGCGCCAGAGGCTGTGCCAGAGGCGCCGCCAAGGGGCTCCAACGCCGATCCCAGAAACCCGTGCGGACCTCCGAAAGTTTATGTGTATCTCATTCGTTGTCAACGAGGGAGGGAGAAAGAGAAGAGGAGCGTGGAGTGTGGACAAGAGTGGGGAATGAGGGAGCGGGAAGGGTCACTGTGAGGAGGAGGATGAGGACGGAGGAGGGAGTCCCTTCTTCCTCCACCTCCTCCCTCCTCGTTGTCCTTCCCTCCCGCTTCTCCCTCCTTTGCGCTCCTGTCTTCCCCCCGCGCACTCCTCCCTCCTCCTACCCCCCGCGTTCGCGGGTTTTCAAAGGAGGCCGTGAGACAAACCGTGGACGTTACTATGTGGTTCCCAAAGACACCAGAAAGACTACAGAACTCGTGACACATGGGAAATGCCGGCCGGCCAAGGCCAAACAAAACTTGAGAGAAACTTTGCCAGGGCCGGGCGAACTACCAACGGCAAACCCAGGTAATGCCTCCAGGCGACCCTGGGGCGCGATCCAAAGCGAAGAGAAGAAAGAGAGAGAGAGAGAGAGAGAGAGAGAACGAGAGAACAAGACAGCTACACAGAGATACACATAGATAGAGAGAGAGATAGAACCAACACATTGAACGAGACAGAGAAAGAGAGAGAGAGAGAGAAAGAGAGAGGGAATGAGAGGTCGAGGTGGCCTGCTAACCCCCCTGCAGCTCGAACCGTCCCACCAAGGTCAAGATTGAGGCCCTGTTTGGATGGCGGCCGTGCTTTAATGGCGCCCGTCATGTTCTGTTTAAGGTGGGCGGGCAATGGTAGGGGAGAACCAACGAATCGACACATCAACAATCCGATATGCGTATTCTCACACGTGCCTCAACTGACAACATTCTTACTGCTAAGCTAAGTCGCGAACCGTTTGAAAACCTGTCTGACCGACACTATTCTTGCACGATGGGATCTCGAAGAGGAGCCAGCCGGATACACCGTGTTGCTCATAAAGATAACGCGATCCCGACCCGAAGAAGGTTGCGCTGCATATTCGCGTAGGTTCAGTTGCCCGGAGTCTGTTGGCGATTCGAGCAAATTCCAACAAGGATAATGCAGGTCTGACAATAATGCGCCATTTGCGTGTTTCCAAATGCTTACGATGAACTCCGAAGAGGAAGAGCCGCGGCTCGGCTACTGCAGGCTAAGCAGCAAGGACATACAGGATCCAGTGCCGCTCGAAGATGTCGATAGCGGCCTGAGCTGCGGGAGCGTCAAATATCTACTGATAATAATAGGAACTCCTGTCTCAATAAATTGAGGATCCTCTCCCTCTCTCTCTCTCTCTCTCTCTTTCTGTCCCTTTTTTCTACCTCTCTCACTCTCTACATATATACACACACACTCCTTTCTCCTTCGTTTACCCCCCTTTTCTCTCCTCCCCTCCCGTCCCCTCTACTCCGCTCAACTTCTTTCCACACCGCTACGACATGCCACTCCCTTTCACTTCACTATTTTCAACGTGAGTACCCCACTCCACTCTCCTCTTCTTGCTCCCCTGTGCTTCCCATTCCACGTCTCAATTCGTTCATCACTTCATTCCCCCCTCACTTTCATTCCCACCACTTCCTACTTCATCCCGCCCAATCCGACCCCCCACATGTCGCATACGACCTCCCTTGTGCGCCCCCCCCTAAGAAAATAGAGCTCCCCTATGCTGAACACCGGCCAAGGAAGAGGAGGAATAATAGGAACATCCGAGAGGATGACACACGCATGGGCCATGACTCCATGACTCATCATGACATTGCAATTGGGCCTGCTTCTGCTGCTGGCGCTTCTGTTGTTCCTCCTCCGTGGATCCCCGTTTTATCCCCCCTACTTCCACCAACTGCAATTGTTCCCAACCGGCATGATTCATGCTTCTTGTAGCGTGGTCAATGCGGCCTGGTAGACTCTCTCTACATCTGACACGTCTGTCTTGTCGAGGCTCTCCACCCGGGTCTGATACCTTGCTCTTGGCGGGTTCTCTAATCCTGCTTACGACTGCCAAGCGTCGCGCCTAGCCCTGCATTCGAGCAAGCATCGAGCCGCTGAACAAACTGTGATTCTAGATGGTACATGATTGGGGGGGCTGACCAGATTTTACCGTGTAGCCAAACACCTGCAACAACTTGCAGCGTCTAGTCTCAACACATTCTGGATGCCCCCTCAGACGTGTTCCATGCAGTGAGCCTCAACCATCTGCAGACCGATCCTCTGGAAACCTTTACGGATCACAACTCCCAAGCTGACCCCGTCAAATTCTGCCGAGATCCCTCATGGCCTCCTGAGCCTTCTAACCGGTTCAATCTCTGACGATCTCTTCCTGAAACTCCTGAAACCTGCTCGGACGCCTAAGTGGATCACTCCACATACCCAGCGACAGGAATGACCCTACACTCCGCCGACACGTCGGCAACGGAGAACAAGTGCAATCTGGGCAAGTGAACGTGGCGTCAAGGCTAGGTAACGCAGCACGTAGCAAGAGACAAGCCACGGAGACAACCTACGCGGCTTGGCGCCAAGGCGTCACTGCGAAGGCATGCATCTTGGCGCCCACTCGGGCCGACTTTGGGGTCTGCGAGCTGCTCTTGGAGCCTGCTGGAACCGTCTTGGCGGGGAAGAATGTGTTACGCCCGCTTCTCGGCTCCTCGCCCCTACCCTGGAACCCCCTCCAAAAAATGCTACGCCCCAACTCAACGTCATCACTCGCGCCTCGATCTTCCCGTCACCTGAGCCGGCATGGAAACGGAAAGAGTGCTCCAGGGAACTCGCCCGAGAGGGCTGACAGCACCGCTCGTTCTTGGGAGCCTTGGCGTTAAGGCCTTGTTCACGTGAGCGTTGGCATCAAGAGATTCCTGTGTACTGTCTACTGGGAATGGCTCCTTCGGGTCCTTCCTATCACCCCTTCCCCCCCACGTCCAACATTTAGTGGTAGGCGGGGGCGTGAATGCAACGATGTTTCTTCGTGGCCGTAAGATACCTTACTGCCGGCAAGAGATGTATAGTGACGCCGTCTAGTAAGCCAGCACGTCATGTCTTACAATGTTATTCGTCTCAAGCTGTTTGGGGCTCAAGCGTGTATGCATATCACGCCTGCACTGCATTTTATCGGCTCCCCCTGCCACTACCCTCTCGGGCAGTGCGGTATCCTCCCCTGCTTCCTCGTAGGAGCTGGTTGGCGAGAGCGTGGAGGCGGCGCTGTTCCCCCAAACGCTGCGCCTGCCGGAGGAGACCGAGGAGGACATCGATACGGTGCGCTTCGCTGGCTCCTTTCTGATGTTCCTGTGGATGCTGGTTACGGTCGTCTGCGGCCCGCCGATCGACCAGTCCGACTAGCTCGGCCCCGAGGATCTCTTTTCGGGAGAGCCCGTGGAATTATGGAGCCGATGGCCAAAGGAAGTCCCTCAAGAGGGTCCTAAGAGGGGCGCAAGATATGGAGCTCGTAAGGACCCTGGGAGCCCTCCCCCACGGAATAGCCCCCAAGGCCCCCGACATGCCCCCAAGAGGCCCCGAAGGAGCCGCCGAGGGGGCTCCCCAAAGCCCTCAGGAGCTCTGAAAAGGCTCCAAGAGGCGCCCCCGTAGGCCTGGAAGAGGCCTCCAACAACAGACGCGGAGCAAGAGGAGTCCGAATCAGCAACGACTACACGCATACACGACGGGAAGAAATCGGAAGCGGCACATCTCTTCTGGGCGTCAACGGGCTGGCGTACGCCTCTTTGATACAACACACAAGCAGGTGAGGATGATACGGAACAGCACACGCCGAATGAGGAGGACGGGTAGAAATAAGGAGGAAGAGGAGGAGCACGGGGATGTGGAGGGATGGAGCAGGATCATAGCGAGCAGCAGGGAAAGCTACGAAAGGACGGGGGGCCTCTTGGGGCCCTCTTGGGGCCCTCTTGGGGCCTTGCCTCTTGGGGCCCTCTTGGGGCCCTCTTGGCGGTCGATATGGATGTCTCTTAAGCCTCTTGGGATCCTTATTCGGGGCCTCTTTGGGGCCTCTTGGAGGCGTCTTGGGGCCTATTGGAAGACCCTTCGTGCCTCTAGGGGGTTTTTGGGGGGCTGTCGGAAGGCTGTCGGGGGCTTCTGGGGGGCTTCTTGGGACCTCCTGGAACCTTTCGGCTCGGGGGTCTCTGGGGCTCTTGAGGCAATCTTGGGTCGGAGGTCTCAAAATGTCCGTTCGGGTTGCCCCTCTGGGTCCCCTCTTGGTGCCATTTCAATAGCCTCTCGGGCCCTCTTGGGCCGTCATGAAGCCCTCTTGGCGGCCTCTTGGGCCGTCTTGCGGCGATCTCGGACTGTCTCGGCCCTAGAGCAATCACGCGACAACGCGCGCGGGAAACCCTGTGAGAATCCGTGCGCGTGGGTTCCAGACCACTAGATGCTCCACCCTCATGGAAGGGTGCAGACGAACTCAACGAGACCTGAGGACACTCCAGCTCGCACTCCGAGCCGAAGGGGGCTTAAGGAGGGTAGAGACTGGGAACCGCGGGTTGCAAATTTGTCAGGTACACGCTAGCATGGGCCAAGGATCCATGGATCAGGGAAAATACCTCCCAAACGTGAGGCCAATGCCGCCCGATTTAGCAACAGAACGGGCCGACTCTGTAAGGAAACGGGGCCCGTCCCAGATCCACGTTGCCTTACGCCATGCTTGCCCTCCCTGGATTTCGAAACAAGACTCCCGTGGAATGTCTCGCGGACTGTTTCTTGCCCCCTGGTTGGGCTCGCTGGCACGTACGGTTGCGAGTACGCCACCGGGTCGCTTCGGCTGCATGCACGGCCATCGTAATTTGCATTCGACGTTGTTGTCGCCGCGTCGCCGCCGCCGCCGTCGTCGTCGTCGTCGTAGTCGTCGTCACAGTCTCCGTCGCTGCAGGCAACACCGCAATCGTCGCCCTCGTCCTCGCCGCCGTCGTCGTCGTCGCCGTTGCCGTCGCCTTCGTCGCCGCCGCCGCTGCCGTCGTCATCGTCGACGTCGTCGCCCTGGGCATCAAATCATAAGTAAGCCGCACCTGTCCAAAGAGAGACCGAAGATCGGGAGAGCAAGCTGACAGTACGAGCCCTCCACCGCACCAAGAGGGCCTCCGAGACCGCCAGCAAGCCTCCGAGAGGCCCCCCCCCCCTGGAGGCTCAAGCATACCCCTGCGAGGCCCAACTGTCGCCACCTTCGTGGGCTCCTGGGAGGCCCGGCGGAGGTACGTCCCACGCGGTTCACCTCGGGGCCTCGCCGCCCCCTGGGTGGCTTGCGATCTGCGCAACTGTCGCCACTTTCGTGGGTTGCTAGCAAGCCCAGCGGAGGTACGTCCCACGCGGATCACCTCGAAACCTCGCCGCCCCCTGGGGGGCTTGCGATCTGCGCAACTGTCACCACTTTCGTGGGCTCCTGGGAGGCCCAGCGGAGGTACGTCCCACCACGCGGACCTCGCCGCCCCCTAGGGGGCTTGCGGTCTGCGCAACTGTCGCCACTTTCGTGGGCTCCTGGGAGGCCCAGCGGAGGTACGTCCCACGCAGATCACCTCGGGACCTCGCCGCCCCCTGGGAGGCTTGCGATCTGCGCAACTGTCGCCACCTTCGTGGGTTGCTGGTAGGCCCAACGGGGGTACGTCATACGCGGACCACCTCGATACCTCCCCGCCCCCTGGGGGGCTTGCGATCTGCGCAACTGTCGCCACTTTCGTGGGCTCCTGGGAGGCCCAGCGGAGGTACGTCCCACGCGGACCACCTCGATACCTCCCCGCCCCCTGGGGGGCTTGCGATCTGCGCAACTGTCGCCACTTTCGTGGGCTCCTGGGAGGCCCAGCGGAGGTACGTCCCACGCGGACCACCTCGATACCTCCCCGCCCCCTGGGGGGCTTGCGATCTGCGCAACTGTCGCCACTTTCGTGGGCTCCTGGGAGGCCCAGCGGAGGTACGTCCCACGCGGACCACCTCGATACCTCCCCGCCCCCTGGGGGGCTTGCGATCTGCGCAACTGCCCCCACCTTCGTGGGCTCCTGGGAGGCCCAGGCACGTCCCTACGCGGATCACCTCGAGACCTCGCCGCCCCCTGGGGGGCTTGCGATCTGCGCAACTGTCGCCACTTTCGTGGGCTTCTTTGGGTTCGCTGCCGCGCCCTTCCGTCTCCACTTCTGGATGAGTCTCCACCACCGTTGTGCACGTCATGTGTTTGCCCTGCTCAGCGCAGCGCGTTGCTGAGTTAAACAGATGTTCTGTTTTAGCCCTCGCCGCCGCGCCTTTTGTTCACAATTGGGCGCGTTTCTTTCAACGCCCCTGTTTTTCCATGTTGTACATTTGCCGTTCCTCTTCTGGCTGCGTTCTTCTGAAGCCACTGCTAGATGCTCTTCTTGCGCACTGCGGGACCTTCAGAATGCCAATTGGGTGGTCCTGAGTATAATCGCCACATGTATAGAAAGGGTTGGGTACGTCACAAGGTAAATCTACGAATGTGCGCGGCGCGAAGGCGAAAACCACATCTTGAAAACGACCCGCCCTCACTCCGTGAAACTCTAGCAATTTTTGAAAATGAATGTGCGCGGCGCTAAGGCGAGAGCCACATTCTGAAAACGGCCCGCCTTCCATCTGTGAAACTGTTGCCACTTTTTAAGCTTCAGAGTCATAAATGGTGAGGAAGTTTCAGGCGGAACGCCCGGCCCGCCCTAAGACTGGCCTCGGAGTGCGACAGGGAGAAGTCTTTTTGAAGGAGAAGGAATGGAGGAAGAGGAGGAGGAGGAGGAGAAGGAGGAGGAGGAGGAGGAGGAGGAAGAGAGAGAGAGAGGCGGAGAGGAGGAAGAAAACAATGAGGAAGGAAGAGAAGGCAGACTAGGAGGAGGAGGAGGAGGAGGAGGAGGAGGAGGAGGAGGAGGAGGAGGAGAAGACTGCATCATGAGGAGGAGGTGGAGCAGGAAGGGGGAAGGAGCAGGACAAGGAGGAGGAGGAGCAGAACAGCGCGCGCCGCAGTAGCCCCGTTCTAGGCTAGAACAGCCCCGTTCTAGGCTAGACCGGCCCCGTTCTAGACTAGAACGGCCCACTCTCTCTCTTTCTCTCTCTCTCTCTCTCGCTCCCCCTCTCGCTCTCCCTCTCTCTCTCTCTCCCTCTCTCTCTCTCTCTTCGGCCAGCAAGGCTGCCGCCCCAACAGGCCAGGGGGGGCCCTCCGGGCGAACTCGGAAAGATCTGGGAACACAAGGGCCCCGCCCTTGGGCCAGACTGCGGGCAAGGGTTTAGTTTAGGGGCCCCGCCTTGGGCCAGCGCCGCGAGGGGGAGCGCGAGGAGCTGGCCAAGCCTCCCGCTTCGAGTTCGAGCTCCGACTCCAAGTCGGAGTTCGAACGGGAGCAGCAGCAACAGTCATGCCAGGTCTTAACCCCCCTGGCGGCGGAGGATCAGCAGCAGCAGCAACAGCAGCAGGAGGGGAGGAGGGAGGAGGGGTGGCGGGAGGAGGAGGGGGAAGGGGGAGGGGGGAAGGAGGCAGAGGGAGGAGAGGGGAGTTGAGAGAGGGACGGAGGCAGAGGCAAGGCGATCCCGCAACACCCGCAACACCCACAGTGACTGCAGTGGAGACAATGCCTCGTTCTGCACCGTCCGACGAATCAGCCAAGCATGCATCGGTAGTTATTTACACAAGCGCAGCGTAAACCACAGCAAAATGAATGGCGACAACACCCAAGAACCAGAAAACAATACGACGCCTGACGCGGCAACGCACAATGATACAAACACCACATTTCGCCCCATGAAGCCATCGTGTGGAGAAGGCGTATGAAGAAAAAGCGGCACTCGGTCTCCAGCTGCACCAACATCGTCTGGTCCTGCATGGCACGCGCGGCCGTAGGATGACATGAGCGAGGTCTGCCGGTTATTTCTCGATCCAGCGCTCCACGCGGTGGATGGACTCAAAAAAGCCTCGGGGGTTGATAAAAGGTGTTCCTGGCCCAAGGTGTCCCCAACTTTTCGGGCCATTTGGGAGACGCTGGGGCCCTCTGGGCCTCGTGAGGGATGTTCTGGAGGCCGTCTGGGCCTCCACTGAAATCCTGGGAGCACACTGGGCCAGGAACACCTTTTGGGTAACACCCGAACCTCGTCGGAGAAGAACTTCAAACTACTAAGCGGGGGGGGGGCAAGACCCAAACATCCGACGGTATGATCGTTGCTGGCTCCCCGGAATCAATCTTTAATCCTGAGCCGTTTCTTGACGGACCTGGGCGCCCAGCGAATGCCCCCCCCGGAAGCCAAAAACGGCCATACAACAACCGTCGTGATATATTCGCAGCGCAGGAATATCAATTTTCCAACTCAAGTCTCCGGCGGCCGTATGGGACGACTCGGTCACCTCTGAAATTTCTCGAGGTGCAGCTGCTGAAGGCATCCCGGAGCGAGACGAACCCCCACGAACCGACGATAGCGCCCGAACGCCCGCGAGAACCTCCAAGAAACCTTTGACACCGATCTCCAGGGACCCAAGAAGGCGGTAGATGCGGATGCCCGGGGGGGGGAGCCCAAAAATGTCAATGTTCGCCAAGTCCCGGGGCCCTGGGAGATTGGTCCTCCAGGCGGCGGATCTGTGTAATTTCCGGCCCCGCCCGCAACAGGGTCTCATCGCAGGGTCGGCGGCGCGTGCCTGCGGGGTGCGTCTGGTGGGCTCTTCTCCGCAAGTCTTGACCAGTAACCAGCGCGTCCCGCGGCCCCAGCTTGCTCAGCAGTGCCGCGAAGCAGGGCCAGCCAGGAGCTGCTTCTGGCATCCCCAGGCCGAGCCACCTCCACACACCACTGCCGTGCCTGGCCATGGGCCAGGGCCCTCCTGGGCCCTGTCATGGTGTTTACGCCCTCCTGGCCGCGGCCAGAAGGGTCTTCGCACACACCATCCTACGGCCTGGGGTTACCTTTGCCAGGCATGGTGGCGGTGTGTGGGAGCCCCCTGTGGCGCCCTCCCTCCCTCTTCGTTCCAACGCTGGCCTCCGGGGCAACTTGAATTCGTGCTCCGACCGTCGCTCCGCGCGAATCTGTGGTCTTCGCGCCGTCGCGCGCCCCCTCCTGGAGAAGGACGACCCTCCAGCCCAGACCACACAGCACGAAGCACGAACGCCTTCGCGCCCCCCGCGGTCAACCCAAGATGGCTGCGCCCCTGGTCCGCTCAAAAGGGGATCCCCAGGCCCCCCCCCCCAGGGTCCGTCCTTGCCAAGTTTTCGAGCCGCGTGTTGCGCTACCTCCTTGAGAAACATGACCCCCCAATCAGGACCAGACGGTACGAAGCACGGGTGCCTTCGCATCCCCGAGGCTGACCCAGACTGGACTCGCCCTCAATCCGCTCATAAGTCTAAGTCTATTGGGTCCCCGAAAAGGCCACAATAAAAATCAAGAATTGCAAAATGGAGCCTTCGGTGGGGTCTTGAGGCTGGGAGGCGAACGGGTCCATACCCATATCTTCGCACGCCGCTTTCTCTGCAGGTCATGACTGCCAAGGCGTGGATGTGGATACGCCGGGGAGGGTCGATCGTATCGATTACGTCGCACTTGTACCCTTGCATGTCCATCCTTTGAATCGTATCCACAAGACCGTCCACGTCGACGGCGCAAACGAAAACCGACCGAACCGACAACAACAGCGAATCCGACCGACACCAAATCTACTGCAACCGCCCTAGAAGGGCGCAGCGACGCGGCAACGACGCAAACGCCAACCAAACACGACCCGACTGAATGCAACCGACCGCAACGCGGCCGAACCGACCGAATCGCGGACACCCTTGATTTATGACCTCTCTCGGTAGATCCGCCACCGTGCCCCCTGGCACGCTGAGGCGTGCTAGAATGCCACGTGCTGTCTGGTAAGGCCTCTGCAATCTTCAAAAAGACCGACCCACCTCCGGGCCGCACCTCGTCGCGTGCACTGGTCATGCTCTCGGGAGGTCCCTGAGCGGCCATGGCGCCTCCCTGGGGCTCTCCAAGGCTTCCCTGACAGCGTAGGAAGCCTCCAAGACGGTCCAAGAGGGCCCCGAATTGCCGAACGATCGCTCGAAGACGCCCAGGATGGCCTCAAGATGGCGCAATCGGCTTCCAAGGCGCCCCCAGAGGCCTCCAAGAGGTCTCCCAAGAGGGCCTCCAAAGGCACTAATCATATATTTGAGCTCAGTTTTTCCAGAATTTTGGCTTTTCGCCTTGTCGGCTTTCCGACGCTCCAAGGCGGCCCAATGGGCCTCCAATATCACCCCAAAACGGCCCAGGCGACCTCCAAGAGGACCCCAAGGCGGCCAAAGAGCGCCACAAGACAGCCCAAGAGGCGCCCAAGACGGCCCAAAAGGGCCCCCAAAGGGGATCCAGAGAGGGAACACGAACCGAAAATCCGAGCCTTCTGGCCCAAGAGGCCCCCAGGAGACTCCAAGAGGCGCCCAAGAGGCCCTGAAAAGGCCCCAAAACGGCTCTCAAGAAGCCTCAAAACTGCCTCCATGAGGCCCCCGAGAGGCCTCCCGCGAGATTCCGAGGAACAACCCACAACCCAAGCACGGTGGCGGGACTTGCCGTATGCAGCTGGATCCGCCGCCCCCTGTTGATTCATCACAGGGGTTCCTGGCGTGCTAGATGATTTCGGTTTTGGTTTTGGTTCTTTTCCTAAAGAACTCCCCCTGGGGCTCCGGCGCGTCACGCCGGCCACCAGGAAGACCCGGTTGCAAACAGTTTTCCCGCCCCAGACGGTCCCAATATGGCCCAAGATGGCTTCCAAGACGGCTGAGATGGCCCCAATGTGCCTCCAAGGCGGCCCAAGATACACCCAAGACGGCCTAAGATAGCCTCAAGATGGCCTAAGACGGCCCAAGAGGCCCCCAAGAGGCCTCCCAGACGCTCCAAGAGCTCCTCCAGGAGGGCCCGAAGAGGCCAAAATCATAGATTTTCCCATGGTTTTTGAAGGATTTTGGCATTTGCCTGTTGTCTGCATTCTGACGGCTCAAGACGGCCGAAGAGGCCGCCAAGATCGCCCCAAGATCGCCCGCGAGGCCCCATGACGGCCCAAGAGGCCTCCAAGACGGCTCCAAGAAGGCCCCAAGACGGCCCAAGAGACCTCCAAGACGCCCAAGATGGCCTCCAAGACGGCCCCGAAGCGCCCCAAGAGGACCCCAAGTCGGTTCAGAGAGGCCCCCAAGACGGCTCCCGACGGCGTCAGACGTCTCAGGAACTCACCAAGATGGCCGAAGTTGGCTCGAAGCTGGCCCAAGACGGCCCAATAGGCCTCCAAGAGGGCCTCCAGGAAAGCTGGACAAAGGCACAAAACAGATGTTCCTTAGGTTTTTGAAGGATTTTGACATTTGCCTCTTTTCGGCCTTCCGACGGACCGAGACGGCCCAAGAGCCCCCAAAGATCGCCCAAAGATCGCCCAAGAGGCCTCCAAGATGGCCCCAGAACGGAAAAGAGGACCCCAAGACGGTTCCAACAGGCCCCCAAGACGGCCCAGAGGCCTTTAAGACGCCCAAGATGGCCTCCAAGACGGCCCGAAGTCGGCCCAGAGAGGCCCCCCAAACGGCTTTCGACGGCGTCAGACAGGCCAAGAGCCCACCGAGACGGCCGAAGATGGCCCTAAGATGGCCCAAGAGGCCTCCAAGAGGACCTCCAGGAAGGCCCGAAAAGGCCAAAATCATTGATTTCCCATTAATTTTTGAAGGATGGTGGCGTTTGCTTTTTTTCCGGCCTTCCGACGACCCGAGACGGCCCAAGAGCCCCCAAAGATCGCCCAAGAGGCCCAATGCGGCCCCAAGAGGCCCCAAAGACGGCCCAGGAGGCCTCCAAGACGCTGAAGATGGCCTCGAAGACGGCCCAAGAGCTCTCCAAGACGTCCTCCAAGAAGGCCCGAAAGGGTCAAAATGGCCTACAGACGGCCAAGAGGACCTTCAAGATGCCCACGTGCTCCCCGAAGGCTTTCCAAACCGATTCGGGGAACACACGGTCCGATAGCTTGGCAGACCTGGCCTCAACGTTCGGCCACATAGGCGCTTCCAAAAAGGCAGCGGGCGGCGGTGTCTTCGATAAACTACCAGGAGGCACTGCCACGGACATTTTAGGTCGGTGTCGTCTCGACGCGGCAGCGACCCCAACGCGGGGGTTAAAAGGTGGAGCGCCACAAGCAATCCGAAATCGGCCGATGTCGAACGATCCGCGCTGTTGGGATGCCGCGTTCGTTCAAACTTGAACGATCCACGCGATGTCAACAGAAACAACGTGCAGGTCGCCGCGGCCTGAACCCGCGGCGCAGGGCGACCAGATAATGAGGATGAGCGCGAAGGATGCAAGGCCTCTGGGCGCCCAAGTCGAAGCTGAAGCTGGACGCCCACTGCCCGTGGCCAGGGGCTAGGACAGGCCCGAGAGATCAGGATACAAGGGCACCCTTGGGAAGCTACCCATCGGTCGGAAGCAGCGGGTAGAGGCAAGAAGTAGGAAGGCGTTGAAACATATTGGGTTGCCTCCCGCCCTCTGAAGACGAAAGAAACAGAAACAGGCCAACCGCTCGATCCTTGAAATAGGAAGGCACCTAAAGTAGATTGGAATATGGGGATCGCCGATCGGGCGTGTGAGTTTAAAAGAGCGTGAGCTTGAACTTCGCTTGAACTCCGCTTGATCTCCGCTCTGCAGCGGGGGGGGGGTCTCAGCGTTTTCGCCTGCCCCGCCTCCGCTCTGCAAGGGGGTGGGTGTCAGCGCTTTCGCCCTTCCCGCCTCCGCTCTGCACGGTGTGTGTGTGTGTGTGTGTGTGTTTGTGTGTGTGTGTGTGTGTCAGCGCTTTCGCCCACTGCCTCCGATCTGCAGGGGGGGGGGGTCAGCGCTTTCGCCCTCCCCTCCGCTCTGCTAGGGTCTGCAGGGGGGGGGGGGTCAGCGCTTTCGCCTTGGAACCCCGAGTGACCCCCCCACGGTTTTCCGCCAGCAGCGGCAGAACACGCTGTTTCGTACAATGGCACCTTTGGAAAATGGCTCCTCCCCATGATGTGGCTTGACCGCTCGGCTTCTCCTCCTCTCTGCGAGGGTCGGACCGGGGCGAGCTGAAAAAACGGCACCTCCATAATCGGACCCTGGACCCCATCCGACGCCATACGCACAAATTGTCCGAACTGCGTCCCTGGAAGGGAAACGGCAAATACGGGCATGATTGCCAACAGTACTGGCAGTTCCGGTGCGACGAGAATTGCCGTCCTTCGGAACCTGTCTGACAGCAGTTCTTGTCAGTTTGACAAGAACCGTTGTCCTTTTCGGCAGTACGTGTTGTCAAATGGACAGGGCTTGCTGTCAAAATAGCAGGATTCGTTGTCTGATGGCCCGAAAGACGGCAAATTTTGTTCCAGGTGGTTAAGCACTGCTGCTGGGCATCGTGCCCGTAATTTCTGTCCCTATTCGGGGCGCGCAGGAGTCCAGTCGTGGCGACGAGGGCACCACACCCCCCAAGGCAAAATATACAGTTGTCTCAACTCGCCCTCCTCTGAACTTCCGCTGCGGCTTGACCGCTCGGCGTCTCCTCCCCTGGGAGGGGCAGCCCTCTCGCCGGGCGCGATGCCTAACAACAAATACTGCCCGGATTCGACGACGGCCGCTGTTGTGCAGGCGACCCTTCGGAACCAATTTTTCTGTAGATTCCGGTACGTTTACTTGCATGAAGGGGGGGGAGGGCAGGGGGGGGGGGCGTGGTGAAGCCCGACATGGAGCCTGGACTTCACGCAAATCGGGGCTCACCTGCACGCCTGTTCGGCCCGCACCAGAGCTCCTCCTCTTTCTCAATCCTCCTCCTACGTCCTCCTCCTTCTCCTCAATCCTCCTCGAACGTCCTCCTCCTTCTCCTCGAACCTTCTCGAACCTCCTCCTCCTCCTCCTCCTCGATCCTCCTGGAACCTCCTCCTCCCCGATCCTCCGCCGCCGCCCGAGGCGCCGCTTTCTTTAGGGGGAAGGGGGTCAGCCGCGTCCTCGGCGGCGGCCGAAGCGTTGCAGACGCGGCACGGCTCCAGGGTCCCCTGCACCTACCGAGCGCGCTCCCGCGGGATACCTCGCCTCCTCGAGTTGGGGGCTTCCTCCTTCCTCTGCCGCTCCTCTTCCTCCTCCTCCTCCTCGTCGTCGTCGTCGTCGTCGTCGTCGTCATCATCATCATCATCATCACCAGAATCACACATCATAATCATCATCATCATCATGAGATCTCTTGTTTTACAGAAGCGGCGATGTGCCTTGAAAGAACGTAGCGGCAGCTAGAAGCGGACGAAACGGACGACAGACTAAAAGAAAGCATGCTTGCTTGAAGCCTGCCTCCTGGACTTGGGGGTCTGGAAGCAACTTGACCCTTAATGGCAATAGGTAAATGATCGTAAATGGCACAACTGTGCAACACCTAGGTCATTACTGCGCCCGCGCTCTCATGATATCGCCTGTTTTACAGCAGCGGCGATGTGACTTGAAAAAACGTTGCGGCAACTCGAAGCGGACGGAACGGACGACAGACTAACATAATTCATTGATTGCTTGGAACCTGACTCCCAAACCACAACAAAAACTGACGTTCTCTGGTGCTAGGGAAAACATACGGGGGCCGCGTGGCCCTAGTCTGGGCTGTAAGAACCTGTGCTCGCGCTCGGCACAATGAAAGCGGGCACGCTTGTGCGATGCAGGTCCAGTGGGCCCCACTGGGGGCATGCCCTTCGAGGGTAAAGTGAGCCTTCCCAATTCGCGAACAAAACCCCGCGACACTGACAGCGACGACACAAACGCTGGAGGTCGAGATCGTCTCCTTGCCCGCAAAGAAACCTGGTGGTTTCCTCCACCTGGTCCCAAATGAACAGAAATCAGGCACGGCCTGGGGGACCTCCGGACCACCCTCGAGCCCCAAGGCAGCGGGCGTTTGAAACATATAACAGGAGTGCGGGTTCTCTATAATCCACGGCACACGTGACGCCTGACACTCACGGGAGGCCCAAACGGCATCTTTCATCAACCTGTTTCCTAAATCAATATGCTGCAGATATTTGTCACACAAGTCGGGAGCACCCATCGGCCACTCTGCAGCCCTCAAAATCTGGCCGCGGTGCCCCGCAATACTGAGAGTCGCGCAGGGGGGCCGCATCATGACTCCGAGCACTTCCCAGCTTGTACGCCGCCGAGGACATCCATCATCACCTCTGGCCGCAACACATCTCCCTTCGCACCGTTCACAAGGTCGAAATATCGCACTGGGTACCCGCTCAAATCGGCCGCCCGTCCGCAACCGCGTTCCCCGCAGAAGGCGCCCGCGAACAAAATGTCCCCGCGGCACCCGGTCGCTGCCACGGTCCGCCCGCGAATCAAGATGCCCTCGAGCTGTCTCTCGCAGTCGGCTGCGCGGTTGAACAGACACTGGGGGTGGAGCGACGCGGAGTGGCTCAGTCGGACGGCTTTCTCGTAGCGTACCACTGGCTCGTCCGTTCGCCACCCTCCGCGCCGCTTGACATATACAAGGCGTCGCTCGTTCGGCGCCCGATCGATGCTGGCCCCCGTGCGGCGCGTCTGGCACGGCGCCAGCTCCTTCAGGCCTAGGGCCATCGCGGCCTCGCGGAACGTCGTCACGTACTGGCTGTAGTTGAAGCCCCATGCGCTCGACCCCTGTGGCCATCGTCGCAGCTGCTCCAGCAGCGGGCTGCGCCGCTCGAGCCACTTCGAGTACATTGCCACGGGCAGGTTGTGCTCCCCAGTCTTGCTCGGGCGATGCATCTCTTCGGGGTTGATCAGCAACGTCCAGCGCCGGTTTCCTGCCTGCGAGGCCGCTGGATATACTCGGGCACGCGTCCCAGCAGCTGCGCAGATCGCAAGTAGGTCGACAGGCGGATCATCGCGAACAGCGCCATCTTTGGCTGCCCCAGCATCGCCAAGCAGTTGCACAGCGCGTCAGATGCTGAGCGGCCCCGGCCTCCGCGATCGCGGTGGGCAGAGGCGGCGCCGACCGCGCGGCCCCTCCAAGGGGTGGCCAGCCTGCGATCCCCGAACCTCTTGTAGGCGGGCACAAGATGCATCAGCCCGGCGTTGATTTTCATCCCTTTGCTCGGCTGCCCCCCCCTAAAAGCACAGCGCTTCGAAGTAGCTGGCGAGCATTCCGTCGAGGTCGCTGGCGTCGAAATCGTCGAGCTGCTTCGCCTCCACGCCCAGCCTCTGAGCAAACGCGGTCACTTCCGCCGGGCAGTCGATCTCCACTCGCCCTGTCACCGCGCGGCCCTCCAGGAGGGTGCCCCATCGTGTCGCGCGAGGCCAAGCGCTCCGAAAGGATTCTGGACCAGCGATGCTTCTGTCGGCGCTCCAACACACGGTCGCGGCCTGCCTCGGCCGCGCCCGCGCTCTCGGATGTTCTGCTCGAGGGCGCGGCGGCTGGGGCCGGCCGCCCGCCGTCTTTCTCGGTCGCGGCGCCGATGCTCTCCAGCTGGTCGCAATCCACTGCCGCCTTCTGCTCGGCGTCCAGGTGCGAGCGAGTCGGCTTTTGCGCCCGCTGCCGCTCCGACGACCTCTCGGCCGCCGGCTGCGCTGCCGGCCTGCTCGCGGCCGGCGCCAGCACTTGCGCCCGCCTGGGCTGCCTTGTCGCCGGAGAGGCGGCAGGGGGCAGAACGCGTCGGCGACCCGCCGAGGCGCAGGGCGGCGCCCCAGCCATCAAGACTCTCGCGAATGGCCGAGGTCTGAAAAAAATGTTTGAGAAGCGGTGAGGTGGGCCCAGGTGTACCTCCTTGCTCTCGGGTCGCGAATGGTGGGGGCTGCTACTCAACGCGCCTAAAACTCTTCCCCCCTCGCCGGGATCTGCTGCTACCCCACCCAAGGCCCGAAAAAGGATGTCGGCCCTCCTCCAGATGGCGGGCGAGTAATTTAGAAGCACTCGGAAAAGGCATCGCAGGTTCGACGGGGCTCATCCGAATGGTTGAACCTCACTGGGAACTCAACGCGCAATGGTTTTAATGTTATGGGCGAGGCAGCACGCGGCAGACACGCGGATCTGGCTCAACTGAATCGCTTGAAACTCAAACGCACGTTCTCGTTGTCAACAAGAAGAAGCTGGCGCACATCTTTTCCGAACAGCACGAACTCAGCGCAACCCTCCGTAGCGACGTTGCCAGCGCTCGGGCCTCAAGGATCAACATAAGTTGACCCCACTTCCACGCGCCCCAAAACCGAGGGCCCAGCGACTGTGAGCCAGGCAGCTCGCGGCGATGTCGGGGGAGCTCGCGTCGGTGTCGTACTCGACCAGCGCCATGGCTGACTCTAGGCCGTCGAAGTCGCCGACAGGCAGCTCGACCTCCTCGGCCGGCGGCGGCCCCGCGAGCTCCTGCAGCCCCGCGGCCGTCAGGGCACGCCCCGGTGCCCGCGCCGCGCGGACGTCGCGAATGCGGCCTTCACCTCCTCATCGCTCCAAATAGCCTGTGGAAGTGCCAAATCCCCGCTCCGAGGCGTCGCTGGCGCCGAATACCCGGTTCCACTTTGGCCACCAATCGGAGCACAAGAAGGACATCAACCCCAGGAGCGCCCGCAGCTCCTGCACCGCGGAATCCCAGAGCGGCAGCTGCACCGCGTAGTTAATCGAGATGAATTTGTACACCGAGTGATAGCACGATAGCGTCGTCCGGCGCACCAGACCACAGAGGGTGCAGTGGCCCAGGATAATCTCCGCCAGTGCCCCATGGGCTCGGCCACGGTACAGGCGGTGTCGAAGCGCAGAGTGCACCCGCCAGTAGCGACGCTTCGTCAGCGCCGACCGCTGGCTCTTTCCGTCCAAGGTCACTCCAAGCGCCTCGACGCAGTCGCTGCGGATCTCTTCGCCGTGCACTAGCAGGTCGTAGCTCTCGAAGATCTTCGCCATCTCCGCCGAGGCCAGCGCGACGGCCTGTCGACGGTCGCCCCTCGCCCCCAGGCTGTCGACGCGCACGTGGCGCCGAAGCCGGCGCGCGCCATTTCTGAGAGACGCCGCAGGGGCACCGCGGTCCCTCAGCGGCTGGGAGCCGCGCAGCGCAGGCACCTGGCGGCACAGGTCCTCGCAGATGTGCTGGCAGAAAGACAGGCTCCAAGTGAACCCAATCGGCAGGGCGCGCGCCATAAGCACGATTATGTCACCCTTCTGGGCGGGCTTCCCATCGATCGCGATAACCGCTCTGGCGTGGTCAGCCGGTGGAACGCGTCCATCGCGTCTGCTGCGCCCGTGCAAGCTGGAAGCGCCGCCCGAAGTCCTCGGCCTCGATCCCCGACGACCCCATCGGCCGTCGGCAGCTCGACGTGCGGCGCCATATTAAACCACTGATTGCTCTTCCTGCAGTCAAGTGCCATTCGCATCTTCACACCCATCATGCCTCCAAACGAAGAACGGCCCTGTCTCCACGAGCCAGGTTCGGCCGAGGCGCAGTAGCCCTCGAGCCCAGAGGCTCGCGATGAAATCTGCGCAGTCGGCTGCGGCCCGGCCCGGGGTCCACGCGAAGCCCTATGGGGTTGCCACGCAGTAACTGAAGTCTATCTTCCGTCCGTCGAAGCATTCGTCGGCCCTCGCCCTCCGTAAATCACCGGCGCGCGTGGGTGAGCTCCGAGAAGAGACGACAACCCGCCGCGCTCCCAAGTTGCGACGCCGCATCACATCGGTAGGAGGAAAACGATCTGCTGGCGGGCTCGAACTCGCGGGCGGCCCGGCCTTGTAAAATCTCGAGGAAGGCATCCTGCGGCGACGGGGTGGGTTCGCCACCTGGCGCTGGCTGCATCCTGCGTGGGAGCCCCTCGGCGCGGGCGGCCGCAGCCCCGCGCGCTGGCATGCCGCTCGCGATGGCCTCGCTCGCGTGGAAGTCGCATCCAGCGAGCCAGTTCAGGGTCGCGCGGGCCTCGTCTTGAAGCCCCTGCGGCCCTCTCGGCCCACGGCGCCGCCGGCGCCGCGGCGTCCGAGCGGCCGGCGCGGCAAGGGGGGGATGTCCCGCGAGCCGCTGGGCGGTCAGAGGCCCCCGCGCCCCGCGTGCTGCGGGCGAGGGGTCGGGCCGCCCCCCCC